TATCAATCGAAAACAAAACTTGTTTTATTTCTTCTATAACTTCCATGCGAAGAATTTTCTCTATCGCGTGGTGAAACGAGATTTTGTAACACATCTTTAGTTTTCAAAGTAAGCAGAACAGTATTTAGAAAAACCGATAAATGAAGAGGGTTCCGATCTCTTTAAAGACTTTTTCTAAACATACTTAAAGATTTATATATTGTAGTTACAAGAAAATGGAACGTAATGTAATATATATTTTTGGATTGTAATAACAAAGAATTAGAAAGTGAAATAGACATGGAGGAACATCATTAGTAGTCTTAATTAGACCTTATGGTATAAAAAAAAATGAAACACCTTTTTAAAAAATTGTATGATTAGGAAGAAAAATAAGATTTTCTGGAGGCAATGAAATATTGCTTATGTGTTACATCAAACACCCATTTAAAATCATATAAAAATACATAATTTTATTCTTTATGAATTACAAACTATTCATTTATATAAAAAAGTTATAAACATATGATCTGAACATTATTATTAAAAATAAAATACATATAAGGACAATATTTACTACATATTTACATAAGAAAAAATATTATAAAATAACACAACAATTATTGAAAATATCCAAATATAGTTATAAAATTCCAGAAATATATATTAATACGGTTGGTGTGTTATTCTACACACGGACAAAAAGATATATTTCATACATTATAATTTTCTACATATGGTTAATTTTGTTGTAAATTAGTATATATGTATAGAATATATTATTTTTAATCGTAGAAAATACTGATATATACCGTTTAGCAGAAACAAATTGAAACATTATATGGAAATCTATGCTTTGATCTTCATAATTCTATTTTAAAAATTCAATGAAACTTCAAGAACTTCAAAAACTAGTTCATTTTGGACCCATGTTCACTGAGCTTTGTTTATTGTGTTTAATGAGTTGTACACGTCCTATCAATTGTGCGCAATAATTTTGTTAAACTCTATATATGTATCGTGTAGAAACGTGTAATAAGTAATCTGCAGTTTATATCTGTATAGATTTTAATATCTCCAAGTAAAGAGATATTGTTATCAAGTTAAAAGAAATACTTGTTCAATTGGGAACCAACACATAGTATTCCATATTCAAAAGTTTATTTTTTAAATTTCTTTTTTTAAATTTATTTTAAAGTGATTGCATTAACGATACAATCATTAGCAACCATTGACGGTTACATACACCGGGTAGACCGAGGCGAATGGAATACAAATAAGAATATTAATCATATTTGTTACGTTGTTATAGACATGAGCATGTTGACAATCCATATTTCTTCATACATCTTCCCTGCACTCAATCCAATACATCTTCAATTGGTGGCTAATCTAAAATACATAGTTGGAATTTGATATTTAAAATGATAAGCTAAGGTTGAAAATTCAAATGTATTTATTGTTATTAGTCTCTAAGATGTCTAAATTCAGTATTGAATGTATTTTAAATTATTGTATTGTATTTTATTAATTTATCGTATTCACTCTAAAATTCTTAGAAACGAATATAATCGGACCAAATCGAGTGAGGCGAATCAGATCACGGTTCTCCCCCATTTTCATATACATGTATGTATCTATGATTATAAATATCCTGATTATTTATATATACACGTACAGAAAAATAGAAATCAGGGTCACAGAGCACAGAAACAATAAAAGATACAATAATAGGTGTTAGTTCTAAAAAAAACTGACCATACATCCGGAATTTTATCGCATACATTGCATTTACAACTGTATAAGGAAGACTCACTTATCGAATAATTAAAAAAACCAATTTTACATTTGATGGTCCTTCGAGCCGGATCCGCGGTCTACGGGAGTGCAGTGCGCATATCATAATTCGAATCGAAGACGTTCGCATCATCGCATCAACAAGGGAGCATCAGAAGAGAAGCAGAGGATCATCCGAACAAGGACCTCACCGAAGAGCAGCTGCCGAACAACACCAGCCGACAACCTGCCGACATCGCTGCCGCAATCCAAGGACATCACCAGCCTTCAACCCTGAGACGAGACCACGATATCTATTCGAAGGTAGGCTCGTTACTTGAGATTGCCAAGTCACTAGACACCAGTCCTTGCTAATTCCCATCGATCATCACTCTCTTTAATTCATCCTCTCCTATCTCGATCAACAATGGCGACGGTATCTTCGAACGCGAACAGTCACACAAACGAACAACGCATACGCGAATTAAAACAACAAAGACGCGCATTCAAGGGTCAAATCACGAAGTTCCGCGAGTATTTGGGACGGGTTGAGAATACCCCAAAGGATCGGTATAAACTCCGGGATAGAATACATCGAATGAGAAACCAATTCGACTCTTTCAACAAAATTCAAGACGAACTCGCGGTCATAGATAATTATGACGAAGCCGAAGCGGAACGCGACAATACTACAGATTAATTCGACGACGTCATAGCAGAAGCGGACGTCCTATTTGACACGCTCAAAAAGGACGCCGCACCTTCTACAAGCGATGCATCGACGAAATCTCCAGCATCCCCGACAACATGTTCCATTCCGGTCAATCTACCGAAGATTGACTTGCCAAAATTCGACGGCCGAATAGAAGCCTGGATAACATTCAAGGATGCGTTCCAAACGCTCATCCACAAACAACCCGGTTTATCAAAAATTCAGAAACTAAATTATCTCAGGTTATCTTTAAATGGAAGGGCCGCGGACGCGATCGGC